CGCATCTGCGACACACCTCAGGGCCCTCCGCAGTGGGGATTTAATTTAGGCTGGTACCTGGTTTCCACCGCTGGCGCACGGAGAGGATTTGATTGTCCTGCTGAGAAGAAATGTAAGGCGACTGGCAGCAGTGGAGGCTTCGGGAAGACACTCGAGGAATGAGTTAGACATCAGCGGATTGTGTAGGGTGAAAAAGTGAAAAATGTATTTCAATTTTGTTGAACACCCCATTTTATGCTAAGTTCAGGGTCACTTGTTCTTTAATCCCTTAGATGTTTTAATTATCACATCGTCGTGACCCCATTTTCATGGAACACGTCTATGTCTGCGCACCGCGCATTAGCAACCCATGGGGCGCGAAACGCCAAAAGAAAGTGCGAGAGCGGTGTCTCGGAGCTCCTCCGCCACCCGCCGCGAAACGTATTTAACAGTGACAAGCTCTACGCCTGCACCAAAGTCTGTCTCTCTAACTCGTCTCGCTTCCGCTCATATGTCTCTATCAGACCGGTGCAAACAGCTAAGTGCTCCGTCCTTCGATACATAGCAGTGAGCGGATTTTCTACACATCACAAGGTTATACATGATGACAGTTTGTGGATGCCTTCCTAAGTTGGCATTATTTTATTTTCATAAATAACACAGTCCTGATTGATCATAAATGATATTGTTAAATGAAGGTAAGATCTTGATGGGCCAAGCTTTGTAATATGCATGCACTAAGATGATGATAGAATAGTGGAATGTTAAATTAACAATAATATAAATTCTATAATATGAGCTCATGGAATTCACAACTAAATCAAACCCTAAATTGGTTATCGTTCTACATCTTTTCTTATTGTTGTTTAATGTTTTCTCTTCCAATTTATACCGTCTGCTCTGGACGACAGAGAGTGTCCATGCTCTTTTTGGTGATTAAATGTGAGAAGGAACTGATATGTCTTTCCCTGCATGATCGTAATAGGTGATAGCTCCTAATCACGGATGAAGCAAGCTAAACTCACTAGGGCAGATTGAACATCTAAATCAGAACTGCCTCCAAACAATGAAGAAGAACTACTCTGAAATTAACATTACTCAACCCAAGCTAAGACTAAAATAGAGACATGGAGAGTTTTGAGATGGGCACTTCACGCAGAACTACTATGTCCCACCTTAGACCAGGCCATAATACATCGATCGCATCTTGCCTGGTAACTTACCACGGTTATTGTAGCACAAAGAGATCACACATCAGACTGGCAGGTGATGTAACCTCTGGCTCTCACGAAAGCAGACTGCGCGCTGCCCGCAGCGACACCGTTTCCGACATGCAACAATCTGGATGTGCGGTCATAAGCGAGGATCAACCCGATGGGCCCTCGTGGTTAGTTCCCAAGACCCCCCAAATCCGCCACTTGCTGTCCCAAAATATCACTTGACACACGTTGCTTCTCGCGCATTTAGTGTGTATCCACCTCAACGCAGTAATTCCAAATGCATCACTCACTAAGGCTCATGTCGGCATGTCATACACAGGCCAACTCACTCCCTCTCCGCGACGACGGACGTACCATAGTTCGCGACCGTGAGGCCGATCAGGAAAGGTTGTAGAATAATTCATAAAAGAAGGCAAGTTTTATATAGTCATGAGAGAGACGCGGGAGTGCTGGTCCTCGACCTCTACCCGACGACGCTCTGTTCTCCCAGGCCTGGTAAAAAAACAAGAAAAAAAAGCACCAATCTCAACGGTACCGTAACGCGGACTCATGCCTCAGTCCGGTACGCCGCAAGAGGAGATGTTATCTAATGGACTGTTGGATGTCCCTGAGCGCGCGTGTAGCTGCCACCCATGCGCCACGTCAAAAATTATAATTATCCAACGCCACCAACGACTTGGGTTTACTCGACAAAAAACCTTGCTACCACTAATCGACATTCCCATCAAACTCACTTGACCTCACTTTCGTTTCAGTGCTATAGCAAGTGTTAGCATGCATGCAACGTGCTACATTGCAAGCTAATAAACATCGTACAGCCTACTTAATAGATGGTTAGCCATTGTCCAAGAGTGAAGCATGTTGCAAATGCTAAAGAAAATATTAGCAATTTAAGAGCGTGTACCAATCATGTTTTCAAGTCACAAGATAAGTTCAAGTTTTGCACTCAGGTTCCCAAAGTCAAAGTCGCCACGCAAGTCTCTAAAACCCCGCAGTTTTGGTTAACACAGGACAAAAATGCGCCTTTTCATCCAAATGCGCTTTTTAGGCAAACAATAACGTAGCCGACAATATACCAGAAAGGGTCAATAAATATGTTCTTTGTCAGGTTGATACTCTCTTTATGGGGGTCTGAACTTTCGAAATGGCGTTTCACGATGGCTTTAGTGTTCAACCAACAGGCACAATCTTTTCTCTTAGCTAATACATTTGCGATTTGTTTTGGCAATGTATTAGTAAGAGAAAATGTGCTTTTTGAACACTAAAGCATGTAAACCCATTCGAATAGACCCCCATATAAAAGTATCAACCTGACAAAGAACATATTATGACCTCTTTCTTATATTATTACTATGTTGTAAAAATGGCATTTGATGAAAAGCGCATTTTGTCTTGTGTAGGACTCAAAACTCGGGTTTAGAACTTGGGACTTGACTTGGAACCTGAGTGCAGAAACTTGAGACTTACTTGTGACTTGGAAAACAATGACTTGGTCACACCTCTGCTAAATGCTAATATTAGCATGCCAACATGCTCACTTTGACAATGCTAACATGCTGATAAGTAGGTGTAATGTTTATTAGCTTGCAATTAGCACGTTGGCATGCTAACATTTGCTGAGTAGCACTAAACACAAAGTAGTGCAGAGGTTGATGGGAATGTCATTAGTGTAGCAGGTTTTTGGTCATAAACCCAAGTGTTTGATAAATTATAATTTTGACGTCATGGTGGCACTACAGGAAAAGTCAAGGGACCACCAAAGTCATTAGGATACATCCTCTGGCTACCATGAATATCCGTACGTATCCGTTGAGATGTTTCAGTCTGGAGAAACGTGGTAGATCGACCAACACTCCCATGATATAAAAATTGCCTTTATGAATATCAAATTTCTTGATCACGGTCAAAGTAGGGTGTCGGAGGAGTGAGTTGGGCTTTTGAATGCGACATGAATGAGAGATGAATAGGCGTGAGGTGACTAAATGGGAGCCAAGTGTGTCAGTGGATATTTTGGGACAGCAGTGGCGGAGGGTCTGGGAATACAGCCATCGGTGATCTGCTTGACCCTCGGTTGTTATGTCTGTGTCGGAGAAAGCACAGCTGCTTTGTGAGAGCCAGAGGGTTATTACTGCAGTCTGTTTGATCTCTTTTGCTCTCATACCAGGGATATGATAATGGCTTCTGATACATCTGTGAATGCATCCAAACGTCAATGTTATCTTCTTTTGAGTATGGAATTTCAGAGTAGTTCTCTCTTGTTGAGCTCTATATTTTCTCTATATTTATGCTTCTCCATTATATCTTTACACAGCAGTAAACAACATTTCTTTCAGTTATTCACAAAAAGAATGGACAACTCTTGTGTCAACAGGTATAATAAAAAAATTACAACCAATAAAAATAGACAAATTTATTGATTAGTTTGATTATTGTCTTCAGCCCAGAGCTCAGTTGTGCATGATTTAAGGTTTACAGTCCAATGCTCACATCATCTTAGCATGCAGTATCAAGCATGCCATCATCAGCCACTTCATTTACCATCATGAACAATCAGGATGTGTGGAAAAAATGGTCTAAAGCAAGCTTAAGAAGCACCACATCTTTGCATAGATAAAATCAAAACCACATCTGCTTGTACAGACACATTAGCTGTTTTGAAATCTATCTTGCAAAACATTAGAAGAACATTGTGCTAATTTCATTTTCTTTCTCGACCAAACACTGGTTTGGTTTTTGATGGTTTTAATGGCTGCAGTGCAGACATAACTCTTCATATGATAATAAACATAAGGGGATTAAAACAGTGCTTACATTAAAGATGGGGTGTTCAAGTAAAATATTTCATACAAATCCAGTGTCAACATTCCTCAGTGTCCCGATAGCCTCATGTGCCAGTGCTACATTGTGGCAGCAGACAATCAAATCTTGTGCGCAGGGTGGAAACCAGTAGCTAAATTAAATCCACCTCATATCTTATGCGGCATTTCCAAACATTAAATACAACCTCGCAAATGTGCATTTTTTTTCAACCAAGGTGCAAAAAGTAATCCGATTCAGAAACTAATCTGTAGCACCATCACTTGCTTTAGACCACACATGGATACACATGTAATGCACTGCATCCACACACTGAAAAACTGAGAGTACTTTCGTCGTAAGAGTCATGAAAAATCAAGAGGAAAAAAAAGTTAGAATGTCACAATGAATAACAAGATATTTTACATGTGCATATCATTCAGTGTTTGAAAAATGGATGGTTTAATCCTGCAAAACATCATTAAAAGTAACACAGAGTAACAGCTGGAATTGTTCATCAAAGAAATCCCTGTTTATCCCCATCGTCAACCCCTTTACATTTATTATGTATTCATGACAAAAGACAACAACTTTCTGTATCTTGGCTCAAACTTTGATGTTTGATAGTATGTAGGTGACACACGGCAGGTAACGTGACTCTAACCAGACTTCAGTCACGTTGACGCCACGGGCCGCAGGAGCTCCAGCTGGGACTCCAAGGTGACCCTCTCCTGGTGAACCACCTGCAGCCAACCAAAAAAAACCAAAACAAAACATGACCTTTGATCACTGCACTCTGAACAAGAGACGCACCTCAGGCAGTAATGACTTTATTAGCTTTATTTGCCATGGTAACAATGGTCTAGACCAGGAGTAGGCAACCTGTGGCTGTTTGGTCCCTCTCCAGTGGCACCCTGTGGCACCCTGTGGCTTTGACAAAAAACTATATGGAGATGTATTATAAGTTATTTTTAAACATTTTTATTTTAACTTATTGTTGTAGACATAAAGTGATTCTTACATTCTCCAGTTGTAAAAAATCGTATTACACAGAATAATGAAAGTTTAGTACAAATAGAACAAGATGTTTGTTACACCCCCAAATATGAAAGTGATGGGCCAGAATGAACAGCATACAGCATAGTTTTACCAATAATAGGGCTAGAAATGTAAAGCTTGTCCTGAGGGTGGCACTGGAGGAAAGGCCACAAGGTCAACTCACTGGAATATGTAATGTGTTGATATTTGGCATCTAGGCTCTGAACTCGTCTCTGCCCACAAGAAAGCTCAGCTCAGCAGAGACATTACTAACTTCATCGCGAGGGGACAGTAGACTCAGCAAGAAGAGTTTGTTATGTGAGTGTAGAGGCTGACACAAGTTGACTCCCTTAGTTCACAAGCTTTGTGCCATTATTAGTTTTGCTTGCCATGGTAACGATGGCCTATAACAAGATCAATAACCTAAAGTAGTATGGTACTAATGTTCATTACACACCAAACTATGTGATGAAATACAAAGATTATTCTGCAATAGTTCCCAACCAGTTTGGGTTGTGACCTTTTAAAACTAAGCAATGTCTACTTGTGACCCCTCAAGTGTGGATGTAGCAAGTTGAGAGCAGTACATCCAAAGCATTGTTTCATCTTAATGAGGATTTTTCTCTGTGATCGTTTCATTTGATGGACTTTTAGAGGCCTGAGACCGTATCTTTAATCTTTAATTTAAATCTTGAATCATATTCAGATTTATCTTGGTACTGCTTGGGGGTTGGGAACAACTGCTCTACATAAAAGGTCACGAGGTAAATTCATGGCATCTGCTCATTAGATTTGGAGGTATCTTGCATGAAGAAATGACGTTTTGGCCTAAGGGTAGCATAAATAGAGTGGAATGTCCAAAATGAAAAGTGAAGTAAATTTAAAGGACAAGTGCGTAGAATTTAGTGCTGTCTAGCGGTGAAGTTGCAGATTCCGACCAACTGAATACTGCATTTGACGACAAAAAGGAAGTGCGAAGGAGGAACCACAGTGGCTGCAATATTTGCTGCAATATTCGTGAAAAATCCTCTGCTGGGAATCAGGACAATCCTTAGCCATAAGTAAATGTGTTGGTCTTCCATAGCTTTGCCTTGGTCTCCTGTCTGTTCAACAAAAACTGACTAATATTTCCTTCTTCAGAATAACCATGTTGGATTAAAGGGCAAAAATTAAAGTTTTTCTATGTGGAGATTTTATTATGATTTTCTTGAACAGTCACTACACACATCGTCATTATTTCAAATGCTACTTCAATTTAACAAAAGGACAAAAAGTCACAGATTCCTTTCCATCCAGCCTCCTGTCTTTCCTCACACACCCTGTTGCAGTTGGATGCCTGACCAACCCAGGCTCTATTTTGAAGAAGACAGTTGTGAATGCCAATGGCTGTTTGGTATTTCAACAAGGCCTGAGTCTATATAAAGACACATATGCCTTTCTCTGCAAAATTCCACAGATGCTTTGGGGAACTAGCAGAGTTAAAGCGAATAAATGACACCCTACGTTACCAAGTACTAAAGGAAGAAGAATGCCATTATAAATACTTACAAGCTAGCTTACAATCAGCCTGCCTGTGTGGATGTGTATCGTGTGATATTTTTTCTATTCTTAAGTCTCTGTTGTATTAAAGCTATAAAAGTGCTGCATGTGAGCGTGAAGGTTTCACTACTGGATAATTTACCAGGAGAATGACAGGCATGCAGCATGTGTTCCAAATGTGAGTGCGTGTGCCACAGGCAGATCCCCAAAGCAAACAGCCAAGTCTGTGCCATTAGTTCAGCTATGACTGATGGGTAGCGGTGCAGACATGTTGAGCTCCGAGCTTTTCACCAAGTTGGACCAGCGGGACCATTCGTTGTCGCACTCACTTAAAAGCGCAAATTCAACTTAGGACAGGCAATCGCAAACTTTCGAAAAACGTGTTAACATGAACGTTACAGCCCTCTCAGGCTTGCGTTGAAAATGTAGTGTATGAAATTCTTGTCATTGGATTGAACCGTGTATTTTACCATTTCACACTGTCCAAAAGGAGGCGGAGGGCTGGGAATGTCAGAAAGTCACTGCGGCCTGCCACTAATGTAGTCCACATAGACAAACACACCCACCTTCAGGAGAATGTACACAGACTGGTTGGTTGCTTTTACATGTGTGTTGTGCTGTAAGAAACAGACGATGAGCTGACCTTGAGTTGCTGTTGGAGCTCGCTATTGAGGCGTGTCAACACTGCGTTGGTTTCCTTGTTTTTACGGATCGCCATCTGGATCTCCCTCTTCTGTCCGGACAGCAGCCTGAGAGAGAATTTTAGCCACTTTTATCAGGTTTTTAATTCACTTTCTACGGACCTTGTTCAGAGAACTACTACGTCTAAGCATGATGTTTGGAGTGGATTCCAAAAGATCAGACAAAGGCACGGGGGTTTTACATCAATCATTCAGCCACTGCCGGCAGTCACTACTGTTAGTGATGGTCACCCACTGCACAGACAGCGTGAATGATCTGTCTGGTCAATAAGGAGACAGGAGAACACATGCTAGAGTCATTACGGTGGGTTAGGGTGTGCCTTAATGTCTGTTGAATTCCTCTTACTGGATAGCTTTAACCTTACAGTACTTAGTTCAAGAATTAAAGTGCATTAAGCTGTGAACACAACATTGACATGTTATCGCCTTACAAAGTTGATATGGCTAACGTGTTAGCAAACAGCGGCTTATCCCCACATCAAGCAGACATGGCATTAGTATTCGTCTGAGTCGTCTTTCTGTCCACTTGATGAATCTAAGTCCAATATTCACTCTCCTTTTAGGTCTCTCTAACATCTTGTGAATGTCTTGCTCCTTTCTGAAATGGTCAACTATGTTCACTAGCTAGATGCTAACTTTGTCTCTCTGCTGTTTGGTACTGGGGATAACATACAGGAAGTTTTAGAGCTTTTTAATGTAACAACAACAACAGCTGCCTATTGTGGCTAAAATTGATGCTGCTGTGAGTGGAAAATTGAAACATTTAAGTCGTAGTAAAACCAAAACAAGGTAAAAGAGGCTAAAAAGCTTCAAGGAGCTGCAGGCAGCTGCAGAAATGAGTCATAATTCTTTGCTTGGAGTGACCCTTTAACATTACATATAGTCATTTGATCCCTTACTAATATTAAAATATTGATTAAAGCTTTAACATAAGTCACCTCACAAATGTAGTTTTTGTAGTAGCCACTGCTACTAGTTAACTAAATTCACATTCAATCATATTGTGTTGAAAATTAAACTTATTTTAGAATTAAAGAGTCAAATGTTCAACTTACTTTTGAGCAGGTTTGGCAGGGGTAGCAAATGGCATGGCAGGTGGAGGTACGGCCTCCAGGTTCTGGCTCTCTGGGTGGTATTTCCTGCGGACCGGCTTCTGTGGCGCCTGAGTGTGAGAAACTCCAATCATGTCCTGCAGGATAGTTTCAGAAATAAAAATCAGACACTAGTAATAAAACTAGTATGGTTCTCACATGTCTATGTTAACAGTTCTGACCTGTTTTGACGCATTTGTCAAGTCTTCAGTACTTCGACCAAATCTTGAGCGCAGACCCTGTTCCTCAGGTTTCACACTGCTCTCCTCCTGCAGCACAGACAAAAGCAACAGCATGAGTAAAATGAAATCACACAAAAAAATTTGCAAGGATGCTGGTCACAAGAGTGATACGATAAAATATCTCTTCCCACTGCTGGCCGACGTAAGAGTCCTGATGTCATGATGAGGTTAAATATTATGAGGGAACTGCTTAAGAGGCAGGATGAAATGTGTCTGCCCTGACTGTGGATAAATCAGTATCTTCCCTGCAGGGACCGCGATCTAGGGCTCTCCAGGCACGGCTTCCTGCCTGCTCAGGGGCAGCCATGATGGATTAACTTGCTTTTATTGCATCTTCTTGCTGCATTTCAGCCATTATTCTCCTCTTGACATAATCTATAAAGTATTAGCACCTGCTTTCATTCGGCAGAGAGGTTAATAGTGCAAGACAGGGCCTACATGTGAAGGTCAGTTTCTTTATTTCTTAAGTTTAGCTCATAGCAAGACGGCAAAATTAGTTGTTGTGAAAGTTAAAGGTATTTCTTACTAGGCTGCACCTTCTGTACCCTTTCTACACTACATAATTTCCCATCTGTTAATGTTGGATTTAGTGAATTTGATCCACTAATTTCTACGGGGCTGCAGTCTCCATTGCGGTGACAGTTGAAATGCCTGGGCTTTCCTGATGGTTTAAACAGGCTAATGCTGCTGCTGTAAATTGTACCCAAGAAACCGAAAAATTCATTTCTGCTGAGCAATGCAACTGACATGCAAGCAGACACAAATAAATGACCTTGAGATTCCCTGCGCCACTGGATGTGAAACACAACCACAGCATTGAAACATTTAAAAAGGTACAGTAGTAGTTGCTACAGTGGCAATAAACCACAGGAGCTCCAACAGCAGCATGTGTGGTCACATCAGCCACAGGTCACGGCTGTTTCACTCCAGCAATGCAAGAGAGCTGGAGAATTAATGTCACTGTCACATAGAGCTCATTTAACTGTTATAAATAACAGCAACTTGACTAGACACTAAAGCTCCATGTGGCAATGCTGGCACAATGAGCGAAACCAGCGAACACAACAGGAGGACGAGAGGAGAGCTGACTCTGACTCTGTATAACTCCCTCCCTGTCTGAATGGATTTACTTGTCAGGTGGATGGAAAAGTTCTCCACTCTCTCGAGTGTGGATGGTAGTTGGACTGACAGATATGTGCATTTAGCTCTGCTGTGCTTTGGAAAAAACAAGAAACAAAGGTATGGCATTTAGGTCACTGCTGCAGTAGCATCCCTCATCGCTCCCTGCCCAGTGTCACACCAACTGCACAGTGGTTTCTTCTCACCGACTCTGCTGTGGTCACTGGAAAAGTTCATAGTGTGGAAAAGTGAAGTGAACTGAACTTAACCGAAGCGAAGTTCAGTATAGTAAAGTAAAGTAAAGCAAAGCAAAGAATAACTATGAAAAGCAAAGTGAAGTTAAATAAAGTGAAAAAAAGAAAACTGAAGCGAAGCGAAGTTAGTGAAGTAAAGTTGGTTTAACACAGCAGTTACTTACTTTCCTTTCTTTCAAAAACAGAATGAAATGAACAGAGGATGACCGGTATATGCTTGCAGATGTGAAGTTGTTTTTCCATTCACAACTGCAAATTGAACTGCTCCCAAGGGTTCCCTCCAAAAGCTGGTATCAAATATTAACCCTAAACCTTAAAGTTGACATGTTTTATGTTAAGGAAGCTATTTTTAACTACACCTATAGTTCACTTATGTCTCTCTGAGGGGTTCAGGCTGGTATGAGTTTCAGCTTGTCTCACTCTCAAGTGAAAAATATACATACGGAGTATAAGCACATTTGGGATCATCCAGTCTCTTTGGTTTTAATTAAGACTAAGTAAAACATCCTGTGGGAAGAGAGAGGAATGGGGACACTGCACAGGCAACAGTGATGGAAAAGATGACTTAAAGACACAAGAGTAGAGAGAGTAGAGAGAGTAGAGAGAGGGCATGTCTGCTGGATTCAACAAATACAAACCATGAGTGATTTAAAAGACGGCGTAAAAAAGTCTGACTAATGGAGGGATCATATGACATCCATGGAGGACTGAGCCAGTTTGTTTGAATAAAATTAGGAGTCGCAGTGCCCTTTGACCTTAAAACTCAATCTGATTTGTTAAATAGGAGTCAGAGGGGTGGACAGAAAGACAGAAACCCTTCAGGCTGTCTACCAGACGAATGGTTAAAAAAAAACAAACAAAGGAGAGTAAAAGTTAAATTAAATTAAAAAAGGGTAACTCTTTAATCCAATTAATGCCTTGAAAATATCAATAAACAAAACTGTGAAAGAAAACAATGAGTGGTCGGCCAATACTGTGACAGTGGTCAAATTACACCTGATGGATTATTAATTAGGAGGAACTATACCACTGTATAAACAGAGATATGAATACATATCTGATATGAAAAGATTATGTTAAAATAACTGCTGGGCTGAGCTGATAATGGACAGACATAACTTGTTTTCAGAGGATGGAGAATGTAGGGTTCCCACCCTTTTTGACAAGTCAAATAAGCAGCGGTTTCGGACAAATTGACTACATTTATTTGGCCACAGCCCATAAGTAACAGTTCAAATCAAGTAGAATTCAAGAAGTGTTCATATATGTACAATTAAAATCACTGTGACTGTATTTATAACAGCAACAAGAAATTTGATTATTATTAGGCTGTATGCATATAGCTTTGAAGTGTCATACAGCCAGGTTTACATAGGCGTATATCTGAGTGAGAGGCTAAAATACAGGACAACATAGATTACTGCCATGATGTCTGTGTTTTCATGACTGGAAAACTAGATTTTATAGGGTTTACAGGATGCGTGGGAACCCTGAGCATGGTGATATGGTGGAGGAAAGCTGATAAAATACCTAAATGCATGATCATATTATATAAGGCAATCATTTTACACATTTAATTTCGGCTTTTAATGTCCTTAAACTTTTAATAACTATTGCAAAGTGCTAGTGCAAATGGTGTGTTTTGTCATGAGTATTAACCATGCACTGCACTGTTGTCGTATAACAGGATACAAGAATAAAGAAAGACAAATGAAGGACAAAGAGAATGAGGTTGAAAAGGTTGAGACTAAATGGGCGACATGTCACATAAATAAATCCCTGATGTATTCGCTCGCTTGCCGTTTGATGTACAGTACACCGCTGTCATAACCCTGTCTTGAAATAGAGGCCCGTATATTTGACAAACATGACCTCAGTGACACATTTACGGTGCAACATCTGAGATGGAGGGCGGAAAATGGGGAGTGGAAAACGCTGACGATCTAGGATGGAATTGAAGTTTGCCTGCTTATTTTTTTCCTCCCTTTTGAAGAGACGATTTGTGTTGCTGATTGCTACATTTGGAAACTCCAGCCAAGAAAAATCAAAGCAGAAAATCAGATTTCATGCTCACCTCTTCTCTAAAGTGGCTGAAGTCAGCAAAGTTTGGCTGCTGCACTTTATTCTGGGGAGTTTTCTCTGAAACGCTGATAAAATGAGGAACCTGACAAGAGACACGATAGGCACTGATCAACCAAAGCTCTCGTTCATCATTCAATTATGAGACATTTGTAGAGTTGGAGTTCAGAGGAACAACAAATGCCATAATCAAACCAGGCTTACCTGTGATGTTGTTGGTCTCGGAGGGAGGGCTGGAGGAGGTGGCAACCATCCGCTTTTAACCCCTAAAATCGAAATAAAATATCACTGAGCTATAAACTAGTGAAGCTGTTTCTTTGTTGCTCTCAGGAGTCACATTTCTATCTTTAAAACAAAGAACAAAAACCACACATATTTTCACATTCAGGCACTAACTTGCATTATTGCGAGCCTCCCCCCTTTCAGACTGAACAATAAAACCCACCTATCTCCATTTCCCTTTTTGTTCACCAATGCAAGAAAAACTTTCATGAACAAAACACAATAACACCGTAGCCACTGGCGGTTCATCCTCTGAGTTGAGTGTGTGTTAGAAAACGAATACTGTGAGAAGAGCTGAGTGGAGACGGGGGAGAGTCCGTGGGTGTGGATCGTACCTGGAGCGCCTTGCTGGAACAGCTTGTTGAGATCCAGTGAGGAGGCTCTGGAGTGGGTCTTCTGGGGTCTAGGTGGAGGGGTGGGAGGCTCTTCGGCTTTCTTCATCGCATCTTCAAAAGAAGTGCTGGAGTATGACCTGGAGGTGAGGTCACATGGGAAAAACAACAAGTATAATGGGGTGAATTAGCATGCATTAGCTCAGAATATTTGTGAATCACTTCTGTGTGTTCTGGTCATTTTCACCTCGGTCTAGTTTTTGTCCTCATCTGTGGGTCCAGGTCGTGAGGTGGCTCTGTGAGGAAGGATATGTTAAATGAACAAAGGCGTGTCAGACTTTTAGTCTTGTTTGACTTGTAAATGAGAAGCAACTACTTCCCTGTGGAACCACAAACTGTAAGTTGCATGTGTGTAAAGTAGCTCAATCAACACTGTACATCATTTCAATGTCATTTTTGCTAATTATTATTATTACCAAAATATATCAAACCATTCAGACACACGTGAATGCTGCAGTGGGCCAGTCCCTCTGTTTTTTGATGCTACATTCTCAACTAAATCACTCTTGAACTTAATTACATTTTTCACCAAATGTGAAAAAAAGAGGAAAGATTCCCAACACAGTGAAAGTACTGAGGTTAGTGAGGTACAGTATCTGTGGTATATGATGTGTGTGCAAGTATTCACTGTCATTTTCCCACGTTAAAATGAGTTTTAGTATCACCTGGCCTCTCAGGAAAAGCACGTTGTAGAGTTTGTTTCTCTTGGGATGTCACCCTCTTCACACCTACATCTGCAGACACAAATAAAGACATCGGCAGTACGATTAGTTACATGAAGGCTAATGACTTCACCATGTACGAACTTCTGAGGAAAGATGTAACAGCATGTTATTTTAAAAAATCCTATCAAAATAAAATACTGTAATATAGTATAATCTGGGAAAGCACCAGAAATCAGAAATCATTATATGGATACGCTGCTTTCTTTACATATTCTGATTTGTACTTTCAAAATAAAAAAGAAAGTGCCTCTATCCCAGTTAATATTTTGTTTTGAGCGCCTTGCATCAGTAAGTATTTTATACTTATACTTTATACTGTTTTCAGCATTTTTTTGATGAATTGCTTAAATAAACTGGAACACGGTGAATCTCATTTTACCTTGTTTACATGATTCCTCTTTCAAATCTTGCTTTGTTGTGGCCAGGCTTGGCTGGAGCCTCTCTATAATGGTCCGATCCTAAAAAGGAAATACAGCAAAAATCACAACATCACTGCCTGCAAAGACTGAATGAAATTAATTAATTTTAGGAAGTACAAGCTTATGCCCCAAGCCAAACATGTTGATGGGGATACTCTTGGACTAACTTGGAGCAGCTTCATGTTCAGCTTGTTAGTGCCCCCTACAGGCACCAACAAGGGACACATGCATTTTTTTTTAATAAAACTGGCATTAGAGTGTCTGCAAAGTTAGAGTGTAATTTACCAGCCGATTGGGCCTCAGTTCAGTATCCTCAAAGACAATAAGAGGCTCTGCACTCTACAAAAAAGCACAGTAGGAATAACCACCAAAAAAACAAAGACAGATACATTTATGAAGGTTTCTGATAACAGATTCATGGCTGTTTCCTTACTTCAGGAGTATCCGGTATGTCCTCTTCCTGCTGCATGAACCCTGGTTGCAGGGTTGGAGGAAGGCTCTCTGGGAGAGGGTACCCGTTCTTGCGCGCCACAATCAAATGAAAGGCTGTGCAGAACTCAGGGAAAGTGAGAGCTCCATCTCTGTCCACATCACTCAACTCCCTTAAGAAGAGAAATGAGAATATCCAAGTAAATGTTATTAATTCATAAACCGGTTCACATTTTTCACAATATTTCCATGTTCAGTGGATCTGGTGCACTGACCAAAAAAAGACTCCCTAGTTAACCATTTCTTAAAACAAAAAGATAGAAATGTATTGCTAATTTATTTATTTTTGCTACTTGGAAAAATACAATTGAACACAGTTTGTATTTTCCCTATGATTTGTGCGAAATTACACAGTTCTACCCTGGAAACCTTAAAAGGAAATAATTCTCAATTATACTAAACTTACAGACCAGCAAAATAAAGATATAGCACTATTTTTAGCTTCTTAAACATCATACTGTATTATCACATAGCATAGAAACATCTTGGAAACATTTATTGTAATTAAATAGGGTGCTTTCAACATTAAAAGAATAGTTCAACACGTTAAAATTTGCGTAGTGTACCAGTCGATACCATTCTCAATTAGCTTAGCTTTGCATAAAGACTAGAAAGAGGGGGAAACAGCTAGCCTGGCTCTGTCTGAAGATAAAACTCCACCTCCCAGCACCTCTCAAGCTCACAGCCCCCAGTAAAACCACAAAGTGTTGCTTTTACACCTTGGTCTTTAAACCCCAGCATAATTCCCAAAAACTATTTCTTTATGATTGTGAGTAATGTCTTATGAACTAATTCATATCTTAATACCACTCACAATTACATATTTTCCAATAAATGTTATTTTATTCAGTCACCCTCTTTGCTGCAATAAATGATAAAACAGTTTAAAATATCCTTGTGGTGAAACCTTTGTTGGTTGTTTGAGGATGAGAAGACAGTAAAGGTCTGCACTTTTAAAACAAGGCCTCTGTCTGACTCAGTGGGCACGCTGAGCTGCTTGGCTGACAAACAGCCAACTGACCCCAGAACAGAACAAGGACAGGCAACACTGTGAGTCAGCACTTACCAAATGTGGGAAAGCTCTGGTATTGGGAGCTTGGATTTTGTGAAGAAGTTCTTTGCAATGGCTCCTACAAAAGAGTCACAAAGTGATATTACAGCGTGAAAGTGATTTTTCTATTCATAAACAGGTGGAGCATAGGGAGGGGGTCCAAACCCAGGATGAGAGCCCCCAGGTCAGGCTGCAGGCTCTTAAATTGATTGGTGTAATACTCCAGCTGTTCCTCTGTGATCCTCCAGGGGTCATCGTCAGAATAGTCCACTACGCCCTGCTGATCCAGCCTCTCAGATGAAGAAGCCTGGGGAGACACACAGGAATCATGATACAAACTTAAAGAACTATTTACATAATCGTAAAGCTATACAACAATCTGGCTTTACCCGAGCCATAGCAGGATGCTCCACAGTGGCTTTGGTCCCGTAGTTACTGGGCGAGGAGTGTTGCTCTAGCCGCGAGGAATGTTTGCATTCATAGGCTGAAGGATAGGAGAGGAAAAACACAGGTTTGGTGGAGGAGAAACCTGAGACAAACATGCAGTGATGTCCTACCGATTACACCCCTCAAAAATGTGATCTGAGAGAATGAGAGATTTACAGATCAAAGGACCAGGAGAGGGTAAAGCGAGGGGAGAGAACTGAACAGGTGTCAGAGATACAGTAAAACTTCAGCTTTTTCATTTCAGTTCATTTCTAATTTATAATACATGGCTGGTGCAACACATGTACGTCTTGTGTTTTGAGTCCACTGCAGTATTCCAGTTACCTACAGCAGCAATCCACAAGGAAAGTGCTAAATCAGGCTGCGAGCAAGTGTAACGTACCAAACATGGTCCAAACATGCTGAATTACTGTATATTCACTTCTACAAAACTGCTAAAATAGGACACTTCCTAGTTATAAAAACAGATGAAAAAACAACAACTGAGTTATTACAGAAAAAAACGAACGGAGCGCCATACGAACACTCACACCACACATCCGCCATATCCATCTTAATCACCCTATCACTGGCGTTTTCCCCACTTACCAAGCCGCACCAATACGATAGCTCAACAAGAAGCAAACCCAACACCAACAGACAAGGAACCCGCACAACAGAAACGAAGCGCCGCCGAACGAGCCGAAGCCCATAATACAAGCAGACACTCTACGGCGATACGAAGACGATTCTATAGTCACAACCAAACACGCGGGGGGGACACCACGACAACCACAACTACAAACACCCGCCAACTCGCACCACGCATCCACCCCCACCAGGGCGCACACCCTCCCGCTTGTCCACCTGCCACACAGCCACCTCCCGCTACGCCGCGCAGCCAGAACCACCTACCTCGCGCTCGGCACACCACCCGCCCCCCCGCGCCCCCCCCGACGACAACAACGACCAGGTAAAAACCGCGCAGCGCCCTAAACACGCGCCCGCCCCCAGGCTGCTGCTATCGGTGTCCACTACCGTCGTTCAGCGACTCACCTCGCCGTCACGAGAACACATCGCAGGCGATTCAACACACCGGCGCGACTCCGTCAACAGAAACCCGCAGGGACCCACCGCGTCTTTTCGCCTCTGTTACCAAGCGACTAGAAACAACACGCCGCTCGCACCCCGTATCCCAACGCGGGGAGGGGGGGGGGGGTACGCAACTGCGATTAATGACCTACTCCGCTCCGACTCTCCTTCTCACTGCGCCCCGTCGCCGCCATCCAACACCCCGGCGCAGGCACCTTACAACATGTCTCAAACAGGCCACGGCACCTATTTTACCCACCCGCGAGCGCACTTCTCCTCATTCCTTCCTTGGGGGCCTCCGCGACCCAGGTCATTCGCGACTCTTTTTGCGGACTGGACTGGAAATTCACTTACCGATCTGAGAGTCGGCCCCGTTCCTCTGCTTGGTGTACAGGTAGCTGCGGTAGGTCAGTGGAGAGCGAGACGGTGAACTGCACGGTGATCGTGGTGGGGACCAAGGTTCCTTCAGACACAGAATATTTGTTATTTCACACAGGCTGAACAATAAGTAGCGTCTATGAATATACTTCTAGTTACTCCAGTTATAGATCTGACAAGTTGCTGTAAACTCACCTTCTAACATGATAGTGTGACTGGATTATGCACATTTTCACTGGCACATTAATGTTATGAACAGCCTCTTCCAGCTCATGCCAAACTGTGCCCTAGTGCATTGAGGTCTGGTGAGGGTGGAGGCAAATGTAACCTAAACCAGAGTCACTGTTGTGTACCTGTAACTGTCCTGAGATAATGTTCCTTTCATGGCACAGTGCACTATCCTTTTGAAGTATCTGTCTGAGAACAAGTAGACTGCTGTCTCATCAGATTAGCAGTAGGTTAGCTGGACAGCACTGACCTGGAACAACTCTTGTCTACGTTCTAGTTTGAAGGGGTTACAATAAATTGTACGGACAACTTATTTCCAACCCAAGGACAATAGGGTTTGCTGGGAGAGTTTGATGCTTCATTCCACTGAGCGCACAGGTAAGGCGCTGAGAGGGCGAATGCAAAGGTACGTAGCAAAGGTCTACGGAAAACTCAAACCAGAGACACTGTGATTCATGGTGGCCAGTGGTTCTCAACTTTTTTGGTGTCAAGGACCCTCAAATTGATTCATATCAGGCTGTTGATAAGATGTAGTCCCATGGATCCCTGTCTGATAAGACCCATAACTGCCTGTACTGTGGATTGGCAGATTAACAGTGTGAACAATGAGCGTGAATCCTGTGAACAGAACAGTCATTCTTATACATTCTCTCACTGGGCTAACTATTCAAAGGAATAATAATGAAATTATTATATCCCCTAATTTTCTGGGGACCCCCTGGAAATCCTGTAAGGACTCCAGGTTAACATCCACTGACCTAGGAATGTCTGTCTTAAAACAATAATCATGTGCCCAGTTGAGCACTGAAACAGGTTTTGCTTGTTGTTATCATTCCTCCTGTTCATAGTGGCCATTAAAAGATCCCTTCCTAATGTGCTCCCAGTGTACATGATGGAGGACAAATGCCACACTCTTCAAACATATATTTAAGTTATACGAGGCTTCAGCAGTCTGAGTTAGTCAAATCAAGTGGATATTTTCCAAAATTACAATCTGTTCTCCTCTTTAAGTGTTCATTAGGGTTGTGTGCTGAGATGCCCTTGTGCATATGAGTGTCTGCATTCTTGTGGCCTGGTCTGGTACCTTGAAGGAGGCTTGTCATTCTCGTCTAATCTCTCATCAACAAGGCATTTCTGCTCTGATGAATACAGCAGACTTGAATGTCTTTGCTCAGTGTACCACTCTACTGTCCCAACAGTCATCCATGCTATATTTTACACTCTGTTCCAAGCTCCAAAACATGCCAGACAGCAAACGTTGAATTATATGTTTTTGAGCTGGCAGGAGAGCTAGAAGTTGACACATAATGTTTTGTAGCGTTAGAAATTTCATCCGCTCCTCACCTTCTTCTCCACATTGGCTTCCAGGTATCTGAATGCGCTTCGGTCAGCTGGAGTCCAGGAGAGGGAACCAGGTGCAGTCCCGCACTGAGCCCCCTGACTGTCTATGCTCGGAGGGACGGCTGAGTATCGCATCTCTGGTTCATTCTTCAGTCCAAGAAATCTAGGCAGAGGTAGATCTAAAGGCAGACATGGGGCTTATTTTTTATTCTTGTTTACCAAGGTAGCTTGGGATTCTTTCTTTATTTCTTTTTTTATTTTTTATTTTCTCTGGTAAACAAAAGTATTTATTGTCTAAAAAGAAGATTCTTTTTACTTCTGTCTGGTCATGAGCTTCCTGTATAATGACCTTTGATAGATCTAGAATTAGACAGAGGGAGTTAATCAGAGTCAGGTCTTTAGGTTAGCGACTACTGAACCAAATCATGGTGAAACTCTGAACACACTTTTACTAATAATCCATCATACTACCATGACCTGTGTAGAAAACAGATTTTCTCTTTGGTCGGGTGTGACTGAATGTGTGCTCGTGTAATAAGGGCAAACCCACTTAGCCCTTTCCACGCGACTCCCCTTTCATCCAGATTAGACCAAATCCTGCCATGTTAAGATAATCTCCTGATCCCCTTTTGCTCTCATAAGACACCTCCTCTCTGCGCAGCAGACTTACTGGCCGTTACGCTCTCCAGGTGGATGGGCAGACCAGACTGGGCGGCTGCCAGCAGCTTTAGGGCCACGTAGAACTGAGGTGTACCAAAGTAGCCCAGACGCTTTGCTCCACACACCTCGGTCACCTGAATGAAACAAAGACAGAAAGTTTAGAATGATTCTCAAAGGACAACTATGGACAGGTTTTAACAATACATTACACTGATAAATCATCTACAGCGTTCTTCTCTTTCCGGAAACGTAATCTTGGCAGGACCAGAGTAAGCTCAAGCATGTGATTATTTGACACCGTGATCAAGATAATGTGTAGCACAAAATTACGGCCTCCACTAAGAGAATAAAGCTAAAAGAAACAGTATGTAAGGGATCAGCAGCACAGCGGGATCTGTTTATCCTGTACTCATTTGATTAGAGGTACAATGACTGCATTGGGGGAGCAAAGAAGATTAGGATTATGTAGGACAATCGAGGAAAATTTCCCCAAAATATAACAGAAAGAAATTTTCTTTAGAAAAAAAAGAGGAAAAAGTAGGATTGTTTATAACTGAGTTATATAAAAGCTCCCCTATGAGGTTTTTCAAGTATTTCGCAGCCACCATAGTTTCTCCTTCACACTTCTGCAATTACACCGCCAGATGTCACTAAATCCTACATACTGGACGTTTAAATGCAATATTGAAACAAAGCAAACTGTGAATGGTAATTTTTCTTTGTCATGAAAGTATTAATGGTACCTGTTATACCATGCACATATACACACGCCCCTCAACCTATCTTGTCCCAGAAATCAACCAGTATTTCTACGCTGGAACTGAACCTGCTTGCCTCGCATCGCCAGACTAATTTGCAAATCAAACATGATCTTCGTTTCGTCTGGTTCCCAGGCCAGTAACCTGCCCTAAATTTACTCTGTCTGACTTCTGGATAATTAGCTTTTTTTAGAATGTGCATGTAAGCACAATATCAACTGAAATATTAGAATAAACTAGATTTTTAGGTGTTGCCCCTCTAAAGACACATCCTGGTGATTGGGTCAAAATGCAATCAAAATGCAAGAATGAATAATATATAAACACAATATAACATGTTGGAAAATATATGTATTTGCTTTCTTGCTGAGAGTTAGATCTGAGAAGATTGATACCACTCTCACATCTTTCTATGCTAAATATAAAGCTATAGCCAGCAGCCACTTAGTTTAACCTAACATAAAGACTGGAAACAGGGAAACAGCTAGTATACCTGGCTCTGTCACATATTGTTAAATAAAAATTATATAGTTAGAGCTTGATTTTTTCCTGTCACTTGGATCACTTTAGTTTCAACATGGTGACGGAGAGATGACAACAATGCTCTTCTTATGGCAACAATGGATTAACGGTGCTTAACACTAAAATGTTTTTTTATAGCATACAAGGTCCAAAAGTCCAGTTTAAAGTAAATCACCATATTTTTTGAGAGAGTGCCATATTGTATAAACCTATTCTGACATATTTTAGTTGTTCAGTCACAGAGAGCTGGTATGTGTTTTTGAAATATGAACAACAGGAGTGCTGTTAATACCTATTGTCTAATGAGGTTGAGGGGCGGGTGGAGTCCATGTGGCTCATACTGCCTTATGATGAGACATTATTTCTGCTTAACCTGCATTGTGTTCGTTCATCAGCTTTCACAGGCACATCCAAAACAACTACAGGTCAGTGAGAGGCTGAGCAGACAGTGGAAGTGGTGAGTGTGCCTGAGGTCAGGAAATAAAGATTAATGAAGAGATTATTTCAGGAACACCAGTGAAGGCCTTGAGGAACCAGACTAGCAGGTCAGATCCATGGCCTGAGGGGGAAAGTTATTTAAGGAAGATGGAAAGATGCCCAAAATAATTCAGCGCACATAATGTCGTCGCTGCTATGACTTTCTGGATATTAATAAATCGTATGCTCTGTTGACAATCTGAATGAGAAAAATCAAGTTTGAATATCTGCCATGTTAGGGAAAGGGGAAGTCCAAAGTATTTAGGATTCTAAATACATACTGTCTGTATATACCAAACAGGCGACAATGTCAACCTGCTGGTGGAACTGGGAGTGAAGTCAGGGGATCACCAAAATCAGTAGGATTCATCTAAAAAATCTTCAGGATAATACATCCAATAAATGTTGAGATATTTTAGCAAGAACCAAAATGGTGGACCAACAGACCCCTATTACTCCTGCTGACTGTGAAAAATTCCCGTCTTTTTTTCATTGGCAAGATCGATGGTCTAAGCCTTAGACCTTCGAAATGAGACTCTAAGGTCTCATTTTCCCCTCACTGTTCTGCACTGTCGTCCTATTTTACTGTCTGATTCTGCTCCTATCTCTCTACAGATCCTTAAAAACACATGCGTCCCTCTCCCCCCATCACTGTGAACACAGATATTCTACAGAAATTATTATAAAATCCATACTCCCTGTCATTGGGTCAACCGTGACCTGCCATCTTCTATCATCAATTCCCCTCTCCTCAGCGGTCCGTAACCACAATGTTTTTTTTTTTAATTGTTCAGCCACGTTCTATAAAACCCTGATCATCAAATCCAGACCAGAGTTAGAGAAGCTATAGACCTATCTCCAAACTTGCGACACTTAATCTATCAAATAATATCTTAAAATCCGTTGAAAGATTGTGTCCGCCCGAGAAACAGATATTCTAGAAAGCCTGGTAGAGGGGTCATAGAAGCTTCCAATGTTGGTTTTCGCCAAAAACATACACAGAGACAAAGCATTAGCTCCCAAGAGTGTAATAAATGAACATTAACCCCCTATAATGCAGTGCTGACAATGTGAAAGCTCCAATCCTTATTATTACTTGAATCATAACTGCAGCCTTCAATATCGACCAAAAATCAATTTAACAAAACGAAAAAAGCCTATTAAACTTAACTGGAATAGATCATACAAGAAACTAGGGTTGCATTTCTTGGTAAGCAGATTCTACCTTAAGACTGTCTATATAATATTATGAGAAAGTCTGTCATAATGATACTGCATTAAAAAAGTCAATTTCTCCCATCCTCTGTCCATTGTTGGTGTACCATATACAGAGGAGGTTGGGATACTCTTGGTCCAGTTTCTGTTCATACCACCAAACCTGTATATGTCCTCTGGGTCATTTTTCCAGCGCCTTTCATCGACAGTCATACACCACTGTTATGGAAAGGCCGATGATAACAGATTTACTCCTGTCCAGTCCTGTTTCTGCAGGCCTAACACAAAAATAGTAAAAAAAAAAATCAAAGGTTCTTCTTCTGGGTTTTTCCCCTCCAGTCTGATCTTGAGCACACCAAATTAATTCACCAGCTTCATTTTCTCCGTCTAGATTACATAAGTAGGACTCCCTCTAACATGCCTCCAGTCAAGCATTAATGTGATTCGTCCATCACCCCAGTAATACCCGTACGAAAATGCACCCGGAACAGAACTTTTAACCAGAACCAGCCATCGGAAGGAAAAGTCCAACATTACTCTGTTCTCGCATCCTTTCATACAAAATGGCTTCCTGTAAAATTCAGAATATTAAAGATCATAACAATGATTAAGGCATATAAGGACTTCATCGACCTTCAGCCCCCCAGTTACATTAGACTCCCTTGTTCTCATTCACTCTCCGGACCACTTCGCTCTTAATAAACTCGCCTCTTTTATCCATCTCGGCCACTCTAACCTGTAAAACTAAAGGTGACCCGTGAAGACCATATTAGCGGTTTTTAAGCCCCAGAATTGTGGAAGAGTCTTCCCACAAATCAACATCACAGATTCACTGAATCTGTGGATTGTTTTAAGGCGGCTCCTCAAGAAACCCACCTCTAGCAGGCAAGCCTTTTTATAGATATCTTGTTTGTTTTCTCATCTGCCGCCTCTCTTTTAATTTATCCTTCCCCTTATTTTATCTTCCTTATGTTTGTATTTACATGTTCCCTATGTTGGTTTGATTGGGTATGGTTATACCCTTATGTTTTTTTGTTGTTTGTAAAGCGCTTTGGACCTCTGTGTTAAAAAGGTGCTATATAAATGAAGCTTGAATTACTTACTTACTTACTTACTTACTTACTTACCGTTGCTGGAGCCTCACCACTGGTATGGCGAAAAACAATGTAGTTGATTAAATCAACATAAATGTGCTTTTATATTGCCAGCAACATGTGGCGCTAGCAGTCCTGAATGTGTCAACACCAGGGAAGCTGAGTTTCAGAAAGCCATATCTTGAAGGAGGCTGGACCAACCAGACAGGTTCTACAACAATGTCTGTCAACACTTGTAACTCAACGTGTCACTGTACTCAGCACATACCTGTAAGCTCAAGCAGGTGAGTGATTCAGTCTATATTTAAATTACATGTAGTACACACGGGGGAGGCATCCAATTAAACAGTTAACCTTCCACTACGCACTCCAAATGGCTACTCTGGCTCTTATCGTGTTCACATGATAAAACCTTATGGGAAACATTTGTTGCACTCCAAGTCCATAAAATCAGCATCACAATTGATTTCATTGCAGAGTCATGTGTGGGAGCCTGAGGCTTCCTCTGAGGGACAACTGGCTTCACTGACAGCGATGACATCTCAGCAGTAAGAAGGGTCATGCTTTGACTACTTATCTGCTGTAAACACAGGCTAGACATAAAGATCCTTCCTCTGTAAATCTGGTTAATCTAGGTGAATCATGACTCAACAAAACACACCTCCACACACAGCGCTTGATGGAAAATCCCCCTTGTTTTGACAAATAGCAAAAAGTGTATTTACAGTAAAACCAAGTCCAGCCAAATCATAAAACAACTTCTACGTTATCATAGATCCTGGAGGAAATACACCATTCATGATTCTCTGATACTGTTTGACACAATGACCCAGAAGTCAGCACTGAGTCCAAGAGTGATCCTGCAGGCATCCTGCAGCAGGGACAAACACTGCTCAGAAGGCTGTGTGTCAATCACCCCCGTGTGGTGGCGGCGATCCAGCCCGGACAGGAAGGAAGCAGAGCTCAATGCCAAACTTCCTGACACCCACACAGAAACACAATGGGCCGCGATCGCCGGGAACTGACCCCATGGGACTGTGAGCGCCGTTAATGGAGGCGGCAACCTACTGTGCTCATCTGAGCTGGAAAAATATGTTTATATCACTGTGGTTGTCAGCAAAATGAGCGCTAGAGCCAATTAAATACAGTTTAGCACGACCACTGTTTCTGTGACACGGCACAGAAAAATCAAATAGTTTTATTCTTGCATGTTGTTTTTTTTCCAGGTTTGGCTCCCAGACAGTGTCATTGAGTAAAATAGTGGGTGGAAACTTAAAGAACAATGCCAGTGCTTTTGGAATCAACTACATTTAACTACAATGAAATAATTATTATTTTTTTAAATAGTGTATAGTTTTACATATACATATTTGTATTTTTCCTACTGCTCCAGGTAGACAAAAATCAATAAGCAAGCTTTTATAAACTGCATGAGTTGTATAATCCATCACAGTGAACATTAAGTCTACACATTTTGTGGTAATGCAGTTTTTAAAGTTTGGATAGCATAACCTCATACTAGCAATGTAAGCCTTAAAGCAACTCTATGTAACTTTTGTTTATTGTGGTCACGAGTGACAAATACTGGATAATGATAAATGCTAAAACATAATGTGAAAGTAGCACAAGTGAAGAAAAGGCAAGAAGTCACACAAATGTGATTTATACAGTAATATCTTTCTAAAGTAGCCAACATAAACTATAGGTGATACCAGGGCAGTGAGTGTACTGAACTGAGCAAAGGTGCATTTTATTGCTTTTGAGTTTAACTTTTCGTTTATCCTTCCTTTTTTCTTCTTTCAAAAGTTACACAGTGTCGCTTTAATGATCTCTGTGATAGATTACTCAACTCAAGCAAGCCTGCTACCAGATGTTCATACTGTAGAGAAATGAATGGAAAACAATGGCTGCCTGGAACTACAGGAAAAGAACTACTAAAAATCTAAAATACAGCAGTATGGTCAAAATATTAGCTTCTTCTAAACTGTGGAGCCTTTTCACTGTAAATTCAGTGCTGTGGGATTTTAGACTGTTAGACAAAATAAACAATCTGAATGTGTCAGACATTTTTTTGTTATTTCCCAACATTTCATAGACAAAAACACTGAACAATTAATTGAGAAAAT